GGGGTTTCCCCCCCCCCCCGGAAAATGTTTCAAAATTGTACAGCTAAACAGTGAATTTAAGCTATCTTTCGATGAGAATTTGAATATTTTTGAAAGGTTATAAATTCGAAAAAAGAGCCCTCTAAAAGTAAAAAAAGGTACAATTGGACTATACATTTTGCAATTTGGAACTATAGATTCTAGTCCGGTTTAAAAACAACGTATGTGCCATTAGTTTCCCTATGCACATAAGTGTTTTTCCAGAAGAGCAAGAATTTATAGTTCCGAATTGCAAAATGCAGTCCAATTAACGAGGCTGAGGGGGGGGGGGTCCAGACCCACTGGGTACCCTCCCCCTGTCTGTGCCACTGATAGGGGTTGTCTCTCAACTGAGAGACCTGCTCTCGACAGTTGAGCCGATTTTCTCTCGCTGGAGCTTATAAACGCCAAAATCCTAGTGTTGAGAAAAACGAAAAAAAACTGTGCTATTTGGACTGCATTTTGCAATTTGGAGCTATAGATTCTGGCTCCTTTGGAAAAGCACTTATGCGCAGAGGGAAACGAATGGCACATACGTTGTTTTTAAACCGGGCTATAGAATTTATAGTTCCAAAATTGCAAAATGCAGTCCATTTGACGTGCGCTCATTGAGCCCAAACAATGTACTAAAGCTCTTATTTAGGATTTAAAACGGATTTCGAGCTAGCATGTCGATAGCCATGGTACAAAACTACGTATCTCGTGTGCAACGTCGCAAGACTTCCTACCACATTTTATTTTTTCCTCGGTAAACGAGTCGACGTAATTTCTTGAAAACTTCCCTTGAATTTTCTTCTCTGCTAGCGGAATATTCTTTAGGAATTTCAAGCTACAACGTTGGCTTGTTTCTTTTCGAAGAAATAAAAAAGGAGCGGCAATTTAGAAAAACCGCAATGGAGATACATGGTTTCGCACTATGACCATCGATATGATGCAGCTACTCCTAGATAACCATAATCATCAAATCATCCACGAAGCTGAGATCCGACATTTTGACATTTGGGCCCCTAAGAAAAAAATCGGCTCAATATAACCATCGACTTAGACGTATCGATTTATTTCTCTATCGCATTCCTTACGGTGAAGCTTCCTACTCCTTGACTATCGATCTTGAGTGTGCTCAAGGGCGAAACCACCTAACTGTAAGAGCGTGCTCTTTGGATCAAAATAAGACTTTTTTCCTCTATAAAGTTTTTTTCTAAGAAGACTTCCGTTTGAGTAGTGACCTCTCCATATTTTTTGAGAAATCGTTAGGCTAAACTTGGCAAAGCTCTGTGGATAAAAAAAAAAATTCAAATTTTCAAAATTACTATGAGCAACTAGAGTACCTGAATACGGGAGAGTATTGCCATGTCAATCCTTTTACTACAGAAAAAGTGTGCTGCTCTCTCATTGGTCGGCTATCATGGAGCCCCAAAGTTGGACCAATGTAAACAAACCCCAGCCCCGCCGCTCCCAGTTTGGCCCAATGTAAACAAACAAGACGGCGATAAAGTTCTAAAAAGTTCTAGACGTGATTTTGGGTGTGATAGAAAATTTTTTATGATCAACTTCTGAATTGAGTTCGAATCGACCTTTAATGGATATTTTTGCCGAAAATGGACCTTGAGTGTGATTATCATTCATTTCTTAGCCGATAATACGTATTCCTCTGGGTCGGGTTTGTTTACATTAGTCCAACTTTGGAGCTCCATGATAACCTAAACCTGATGAACCAATCAGAGAGCGGCACAGAGATGGCAATACTCTCCCGTATACAGGTACTCTATGAGCAACGACCAGAGCTGGAAAATTTCATGAAATTTATTCGAGTGAAATTTCACGAAATTTCATGAAATTTATTGAAACTTTTGGGGATACATTCAGGATGCTAAGAAACGCCTAGAAACAGTGATTCTAAATTTTGAAATTTTTCACCCCAAGCCTAAAAAATTCGCGCGTTGCAAATGTTTTCGTTAAGTTTAGATGTTAGGTTGGGATTTTTCTCTCTAAACTCCCCTTTTTGCCCCCTCTTTGTGTCTGGCACCTTTAGTAGAGTAGTATAATACCGCAGCATCAACAGAAAGACGATCTGAAACGCTTTCAGACCTCCAAAGGTTTAATCAATAATTCTAAAAAAAATTAATAAACAACTTTTGTGAAATTTATTCGAGCCTTATGAAATTTCATTTTCCATCTCTGGCAACGGCCTATGAATACCCTTTTTAGCGAGTGAACCCTGCAATTTTAACCTGTAAAACAACAGTTTTACCAAATTCCGCTAGTCGTCACTGCGACGCGACGCGACGCCGAAGGCGTGAGGAGACAATAATAAAAATAATAATGGGACTGGATACACACACGAAGCGCACTCGCTGAAGCGAAGAAGTTAGCATAAGTTCAAGGCGACCTCTCTGTGAGTGGTCTGCATCATCCGTCGATCTACTGATCTCGGATCGTGGCCGCACGCGTCATCCCGGTGTCCGTGTCGAACCCGGAATGATCCACGGCGGCCTTGCGCGTAATTGGAGCGCGCTGAAATCTAGTCGAAGCGTGGCGTCGCGACGCTCGCGCTCGGCGGTGAAAATAACGCGTCGCGCCACATGTGGATTCCCTCTTCTATCGGAAATATTCCTGGCGCATGCCGGTGGCGCGGTGGCGCGGCGCTAAGTTCTACCGCCGCACAGTGGATCGAGTTAATTGGAGAGGTCGATATGCAAATTTTGATGTTTATTTCATCAAATTTTAAATTTCAATGGGTGTTTTCAGAGGAAAATTTGACAAGGAAACCAATTGAACCATTTACAGGACCTTAAACTTTTGTATAAACGGAGTTATGAGCGTTTAAAGTTTCCAAAGTTTGTCCGACCTCTCTCATTGACTCGATCCACTGTATGGCGCGGCGCTAAATTCTTCCGCCGCGAGCGGTTTTGGAGTAGGAGTACACCTTGATCGTGTCGCGACCCGACCGGCGGCGGCGCGGCGTCCGTTGACAGTGACGGCACTTCCTGCGAGCGAAATGAGACTTTTGTGCGGTGTCGTTTGAGTTTTGAAATGCTCAAATTTTTACGAAATTTGAAATCCATTCATTTTTTTATGATTATTAATATTGAATCCGGATTAATAATTATTACTGAGATTTGTGTGCGGTGGCACGGCCTGGCAGGGAAGGGGAGGGGAGATCAGGGGCTGGAGGATCCGAACCAGATATGGGAAGTGAAGTTTCAAAAGGTTCAAATAATTGTACGAAATTTAAATTTTTTTAAAATTTTGTTATAATTATTAATATTAGGCCTTCGGAAGTCCGGAGGCGTTTCAGATCTTCCTGCTGATGCGGAAGGGAGTGCTAGCTACCGGCTATAATGAGGTGCTAGGTGCTATACATGAAAAAGGGGACACATAACTGGACGTATTTCTTTCAAATGGTACTAAGCGCCAATTTGAGTTCCTTTTGAGGAATTTAGAATGCCGGATAGCGCGTCCTGTCAAACGGAACTAAGCGCCATGGAAAAGCATTGCGAGTATAGGACGGAATGAGCCCGACGCCTGTTTCCGTTGCCAATCCAAGCCCCCCTCTACCTTCCTCCCCATATGGCGCTTAGTTCCGTTTAACAGAAATACGCCCAAATATTTTGCAGATCGATGCAATACACTCCAAAAACTCAAGGCGTGGACTTCTGTCGAAGATCATGTTTTCCTTGTAAACAAAACAGATGAACAACAACAACGAATCGGCAACTATCGGCATTTACCGGCAACCACCGAGACCGCCTGAAGTTGCCATCTGTTCATTTTCGGTGACCAGAAAACTGCCACCTGACTGCAAAAAGTCTTTTAAAACTACGCAAATCGCGCACGAAAGAGTAGTTTTCAGACATTTTCAATGTAACCATCGTAATTTTTGGGCCATTATACCTCTGAAACGTTTACTCACATGGCTGTATCTCATACATGCAACATATTCGCCCCCCCCCTCCCTCTCAAGCATCGGCAATTCTCAGGAATGTCTTACCTTAGGAACCCTCTTACGAAATGTATGACCACAGAACAGCCCTCCCCCTTCCCCCTTCATGAAATATTTCTGGC